TCTCTTCCGCCTCCTCCTCCTCCCCCTTGAATCCCCACAGCAAACCTGTGAGGTGGGTTAGGCTGAGAGGGAGTGACAGGTCCAAGTTCACCCAGTGAGCTTCAGGGCCGAGTGGGGATTTGTTTTTTTTTTTTAATAATAATTTTTTATTGCATTTTTTCAGACACAGACAGAAAACAGTAGAAGAAAAAATAAACGAAAAATGTAAAAGAAAAAAGAAAAATCATACCCCTTCAACAGCTTATTCCAACTTTCCATCAAACTTCCCCACATCTCCCGCACAATGCATTCTTAATAATAAATTTATCAGCAAATTGTAACCTTGTTTCATGTGTTTCTTTGGTACTTTCAGTTGCAATTTAAGTTTAAATCCCTTATTGTCCATTTACCCTGAAAACAAGACATATTATCATTCTTAACATTTAAACTTTGATTCTTTCAATAATATTATCCAATTTCATAAATATTGCACTCTCGTTGCTGGGGCTAGCATTTCAGATTGTGCGTCAGGGCCGAGTGGGGATTTGAACCCTGGTCTCCCAGGTCTTAGCCCATCCCTGTTTGAGGATTTAATGCCTGTTTTTATAAAATGCAGTATGGCTACTAATGGGGACAAAATGTGCAAGAGGAGGACTGACCACAGGCCACAGGCTCGGCCAACAAATAAAGCAGTTTTCCCTCCACCCCACCTTACACCTCTGAATAAATTGCCTCCACTTCTGATTTGTCACACCCTCCACCCCAATCATCCGGACGGGAGTTGGGTTGAATGTTCTCTTCCTCACTGGTGCAAGGGCTTGGTCTCAAAATAGCTCCTGACTCTCCCATCCCTGATGCAGCTACTAACTGGGGACATTGAGCCCAACCAGAAGCAAAGGCCAAACAGTCGCTCTCCCCACCCCCCGCCCCCTGCCGAGAGGTCCAAGTACCACTTGGAAGCGATCAGTTAAATAGCTGGGGTGGGGAGGGAACAGATGCAAAGCTGCTTTCTGAACGGTGGGGGGGAAAGGATGGCGGCAGGTCTGGAAGATGTCACTTTTTGCAGGGGCAGAGGGACAAAGAACAGCTGTGCGCAGATGGCGAGAGAGGCTATAAAACACTTGGCACAGGGCTACCTCTGCTGAAAGTGATATAGTGGGTTGTTGTTGTTTTGTAATGGCTAAAGAATAAAAACAAAACGGGACACACAGCAAGAGCTGCTACTGCACAGCTGGGAATCCCACCCCACACAAATTCCATGCAGAGGGAGCCCAGATTTGCAGCTCTGAAATTCTAGCAGTCAAAAGCACAAGTGACCTGCTTGCACAATGTAATCCATTTTGCAACTGCCGGGGGCCCCTCCAGACTGCTGGGGTTTGGATGGTGGGCATACTCTGCAACATGGCACTGATGCAATAACAGCGGTGGGCTTAGATCGGACTGTCCAAACATCGTTCCATTGTGTTAGTGGATCGGTGATACTTTCTCAACTTTACAGAGTTCTTGTGGCATTCTTACTCTATAGTACAATGAAAGCAGGGCAGAAACTAATAAACCCCGGAATATTTGTGACATAAAAAGTTATAGGATTTCAGAAAGAAGCCACGGGACATTCATTGGTTAGAAATGAAGCAGTCTGTCTGCCCCGAGACATTTGCAAGAACAAACAGTGCTGAAAGCAGAATTGTGTATAACCACCCTGGTACCATTGTGAAAACTAATAACGCACAATAAAAGGGACATCTACTGTAACTCACTATAATAATCTCAATAATAAAAAAGGGACATCTGAAGGGGCCTTGGATGTTTTCAAATTTCCTAGTGTTTGGGGCTGGAAGGCAAAGGACGGGAGATCTGGCCCACAGCAGTGAAAGATGGGAGAATTATGTGGTCTACAGAATCTTATTTCCAGTCCCACTTTTGCTACTCTAGAAAGCCCTGGAAAAAGGCATGGCTTCCAAACAACATCCTTTGCAGTCGTAAAGCCTAGAAACTATTTTCTTTTTCTTTAAAATGAAGGCTGAGATTTTCAGGATTCCACACAATTAAATCCAATGCTTGCATACTGTGCGACTGTGCACATTTGAAGTGCACAATACCTGGAAACTTGAGTAAGGTTTATGCGAAGACAGACAGTAGTACTGCCTTAACGAACTTAGGTCTGAGCAGAGCAGGTTTAACACATTTTGCCCCAGAAATCCAGCAGTCTTGACCTTGGGGGGGTGGGGAACCTTATTGCTGGAGACGCAACTATCCCGAGTTCATCCACGCTGGAAGTTAAAAGCACCAAGCAGAGGGATTACTAACTGCTCTGTGGAAGATTTTGCAACCACATCAAAAGGGTCTGAATGCCTCCTCTGGCACTGAGGGGGTCTGCTTCCTCCTTAGTGGCGCCTGGCCAAGCCGAGAGAAATATCCACTGGAGCTACTCTAACCGTGGGCCCCTCCAGACTGGTGTCCTATTGAGGGTGTGTTCTGCAGCATATTTTTGACACAATACTTGAGCATTTGTTCGAAGAATCAAGAAAACTCAGGAGGCCAGGCCTAGTGAGCACAGCAACTCGTCCTGTTAGATCTTGCCCCACTGAGGCAGTTGAGAGGACTAAAGGTCCCCACGTTCCCACACTTCTCTAAGTCTCCTCCTTCTCTGAGTCCTTCCCAAGCAATCTGAGACTTCACCGCCTTGCTTGCCTTTGCTCTGCCCTCTTCATACCTCTTCTGGTTCTGGGAGACCAGGGGAAAGGGGAGCTGGTCACAGCAGGAGGGGGAGACCCCCTGATTTTTTCATCTTTGCCTCTTGGCCCCTCTCCTCTCCAGCCTCTGCTTCTGCCTCTAATTCTGGGCTGCTCTCTGCCACAGACTCTCCCTGCTCATTAAACCCTGTTACCTCTACAGCTTCCAACACCTCCTCCTCCCAGTCTGCTCCCTTCTCCCTCTGACCACCCATCCTCATCCCACCACCAATCCCCTGGCTCTGAGTCTTCTTCCCTTGGGGGTTCCCCAGCTGGTGTCTCCCACCACTCCTCTGCATGCATCGTCATCCAGTAATACCACATTACTGCCGTCTAGAAGGGCTGTAGCACAATAAAAGCAGGACAAAAAAGGAACCAGAACATTTGTGTATAAAAAGTTCCAGCAGGACATTACAGAATATGCACTGATTGGGAATGAAGCAGTGTAACCAGCCCAAAGCCTTTGCAGGTACAAACCATGGAAAGTGGGATCACGTGTGACCGCCATAATAGCATCGTGAGCACAAATTGTCACGAATGCACAACGAAACAGACATCTGGAAAGGCCCTGCCCCACAGCAGGAGGTGCAAATAGGTTCTCCAGCTTGCAAATGTGTCCATGGGCTCCTGAAAGGGTGAGTTACCCTACGATGCTTCCTGCAAGGCCAACTAACCACGCGCACTGGAGGTGCACCAGAGGGAAGGGGCTATTGCTGAGTGGTAGGGCATCAGCCATGCCATGCAGAAGGTCCCGGGTTCAATCCTGAGCATCTCCAAACAGGGCTGAGAGACACTCCCTGTCTGAAAACCTGGGAGAGCCGCTGCCAGTCAGATTAGACAATACTGAACTCAATGGACCAATGAGGTGACTCAATATAAGGCAGCCTCCTACCTTCCACCCAGGGATGCTCTGCCAGCATGATGCTACAGTGCAAGAATCATTTTGGCTTGACACATTCAAAAGCAGAGTCAGTCACTGCAAATATGCCTGCTCTTTGCAGTATGGTGAGTGCCATTTGAGGTCTACCACCTTAAGTGGCTCCCTAGGCTATCTATATGGTAGAGACAGCTCTGGAGTACCTTTGGGCTGAGAGCACAGGAGACTGTTTGATTTTAAAAAGCCAGGTTGTCTCTTTCTAAAGCAGAAGAGGAATTCAAAGGAGCACCCTCCTGCAAAAACAAACACTGTGCTGGTTCTCCTTCGGGAAGTGGATCCAGGGCTCTTTCGGCTCAACACTGCCCTCTTCAGGGAAGAAGGAAGAGGAGAAGATCCAGGACACACCTGACCTTACACAAAGGATGTTTTAGGTAGCTTTAGAGATGCCTTTAATGACAGCCATGGGTGTAAGAAAATTTTGATTCAGTTCACATTCAAAGGCAAACCTATCAAATCTGCATTCAAAATAATGGGCAAAGCAAAACACAGCCCTCCTCCGAAATTTGTGCTTCTTTGAATTTTGCAATGCAGCTCTTCGGCCAAGTAATGCATACAAAAAAAATTGCACAGCGTGTGCATTAAATACAAACATTAGTAAAAATAGCATGCAAGGATGCATTATGTTAAAGGAAATTGGTTTGCAAAAATGTATGGATTAGGCAAAAGTACATATAAAAATACATACATGCTGATGCATTTTTATGCAAACTGATGTGGAAAATATGGGGGACAGAATTTAAGATGGGTGAAATGATAAACTGAAAGTGACAGATCAATCCATCCCAAGTTACAGCACACACAAGTTACAGTTGGATGCCCTTCTCCCATCCAACATAATCCACAGTGGTCACTTCCCAACAGCCTCTTTCATCCTATTTTTTCAACACAAAGTTTGTGGGAAGGTTAAATGATGTCGGCTATTTACTGTGCATATGTTTTGAAGAAGAGTTAGCCCACACCTTCTGGCACATCTTCCCATCCACTTCTGACGGACTGACTGTTGTCTATGCTGGCTGAGGGTGACGAGAGCCGGAGTCCAAGAACATCTGGGTGGCCAAAATCTTTGGGCTAGTGGGTAGCCTCTCATAGCATCCTTATGGAGAGGTTCAGCCACCCTTGTGTACATAGCATACAATGAAAGCACATGGCTTCCCCCAAAGAACCCTGGGATCTGTAGGTTTTTAAGGATGCTGGGAACTGTAGCTCTCTGGGGGTGAGCTATAGTTCCCAGGATTCTTTGGAGGGCAGGAGATGTGCTTTATATGTAGGATGTGTATGCTCAAAAAGTCGGCTTCAGGGGGTGCTGTTTCCTCCTGCAAATGTATATCCCTCCCATCCATTATATAACACACCTTCTTTGACTTGCTGAAGAAGGCCTGCTTGATCTCCTCCAGGGTGGCATCCTGCTTGATCCCCAGCAGGTCATAGTAGCTGCTGTTCCTGGCTGGTGACCTACGAGGAGGAAGAGGAGGAGGAATTGGTTACGCTGACATCATCGCCCATGTCTCCTCCCCACCCACAAATCTCTCAATGTTGACATTTGTTTATTTATCACATTCATGTACTTCCTTTCCTCCAAGCTCTAGGTGGCATGCATAGTTCTCCTCCTCCCCTTTTCATCCTCACAACAAGGTAGGTTAGGCTGAGAGACAGTGACTGGCCAAGTGGGGACTTGGATCCTAGTCTCCCAGGTCTTAGTCCCACAGCTACACCACATTGGCTCTGACATGCACCACCAAGCACTAGTGTGGCCATTTTAAGTAAGTCTTTACCATTCCTAGAAAGAAAGTTGGGAGAAGATTGGAGCATCTGCGTATCTCTCATTGGAAACAGAATGTATGATCTATTGCTGTATCAGAAAAAAATAACAAAGAGATTACATGCATCAAATGATACGAATGATGCAAACGATTTTGTTGACATACGGCATCCTTTTATAAAACACTTTGCTGATAATCCTGAAGAATGGCAACTACCAAAATCACAGAATGGATTTTGGCAAACTTAACCAGATTGATGAGTTGGGGGGGTGGGGGGAGTTGGGATTTTGGTTTTGTATTCTTTCCTTTCTTTCTTTTTTGTCATTGTTATGTATTGGAAATAAATAAAGAAATATTTTAATAAAAGAAAGAAAGTTATGAGGCTAAATGTGCTGGTACCTTTTAAGTGATTCTGTGAAATGATAGGGAATGTGGCTACCTTGGATACTTTTTCTGGTACCTAGGAATGCTCCTTGTTGCTGATGGACAGCAACATCATCGGTGTGTGTGAGAGAGAAAGAGAGAGACAGAGACAGAGACGCTATTGTGTTGTGTCAGTGGCGCTCTCTTAAAATTTGAAATCTGGTCCAAAAAGGTTGACAACTCCTGGTCCACACATGCTCACACTCCCTTTCCTGTCCTCCACCCAAGCAAGCAAAAGGCATTTTCAGAGTTCAAGGGCACATTTCATCCCAGGCAAGGAACACTCAAGAAAGTTGCCAGGCTTGGGTGTGGCTCGGAAAGGGGTGGCGCTGGCCTAGGGCAGGCTTCCTCAACCTCAGTCCTCCAGATGTTTTCGGCCTACAACTCCCATGACCTCTAGCTAGCAGGACAGGAATGATGGGAATTTTAGTCTCAAAACATCTGGAGGGCCGAGGTTGAGGAAGCCTGGCCTAGGGAGAGACTTGGGGGCCAGAGAGGCTTTGAGGGGTGCGTTTGACTTCCAAGCATGAGGTTCCTGGTCTACACAGAATAGCAACAGCTCTCCAGTGTTACAGAGAGGAGTTTTTCTCCTACCTGGAGATGGGAGGATTGAACCTGGGAGACCTCTGCATGCAGAGCAGATACTCTCCCACTGAGCTGTGGTTTTTACTAAACAGCAACACAGGACGTTAGTCTAGAGAATGCTCAGAAAAGAAGACAGGCTGAGGGTGGCATTGGGAGCTGACATACAGGGCTCTTTCCCTCCTTCCCCTGGGTACACAAAATTCAAGAATCACTGTGAAGAGTTCTCGGTAAACGATATGCAAGAAATAAGTCTCCCCCCTCCACACACACACATGCATACAGAGAGAGAGGAAATAAAAGAACAGGCGGTTCATTACAAACTCAAGAGGACAAGACTGAAAAGAATATGCATAACATCCACCAGCTGTGTATATAATATCCTCCGTAATCCACCAACCAAAATACTCTGTTATCAGTAAGGACCAGAATGGGAGCAGCTTGCCAATGGAAGGGGATGCAATTCTCCCACTTCCTGTGATTCCTTTTTTTGTTTTGGGAATAAATCTTGATAATTCAACCAGAGTAAATAGTTAAAGGAAAGGAGAGAGAGAATTAAACAGGTGCAGGCCTGCAAAATGGGTGGGCTATTACGCTTCGTGGCTCCTTGCCACTGGAGACAAAAGAAGAACAAGGGAGATTTCATACGCTGGGCAAATGCAATGGGGTGATCCCCTGTGTGCAGCGTGGGGGAGCCTGTGGGCACCCTCATCTGAATCCAGAGTACTCCAGAAATCAGTAGAAGGGACCTGGAAGTACAGAAGATATATTTGGGGTGGGCACAAGCTGCCTTGTATCATTGCTCTGTCCTACTCAGTTCTGTGTCCTCACTGGCAGTAGTTGTCCAGGATTTCAGACAGAGGACATTTCCAGCCCCACAGAGAGATGCCAGGGATCGAACCTGGGACCTTCTGCATACAATGCAGGTGTTCTACCATTAAGCTATGGCCCTTCCCCTCTCTTACCAGCCTTATGGTATTTATCCCAGGTGCAGTTACTCCAGAGGCCTTATTCCGCCTGCCTGGTATTGCAAACACCCCTAAGCTCTTTTCTGTGACTGACAGGGGCTCTGAGGGCTGAGAACACACACAAGTCCTGGATAGCACACCAGGCTTAAGTCCCAGCCTAAGGCCACGAGGTCCTGGGTTCATGTCCCCAACATCCTGTCATGACCCTGGGACTGGTTCCCCTTTCTTCAGGTGAGGAGACTGAGGACTCTATGGAGCCAGAAGGGGAAATGGAAGAGAAACATCTTTGGCAAAAGCCAAGAGACACTAGATTCAGACTTAGGCTGCATAGACACCACACATTTAAATCACACGGCTTCCTGCCAAAGCATCCTGGGAACTGCATCTTGTTAAGGATGCTGGGAATTGTAGTTCTGGGAGGGGGTGAACCACGGTTGCCAGGATTCTTTGTGGGAGGAAGTTATGTGCTTTCAGTGTATGGTGGGCACACTATTGCCAATGCATCACCAGAAGTCTGCTCTCATAGTGTTTGTCGCAAGCTTTGTTCAAGGCCCTGCATTGTAATACATCCCAAATGAGCCAGCAGGAGAGCACTCACCGGCTGCAGAACGCGGTAGAAAACACCCGGTGCCTGGCACTTTGGCACAGCCAGCAGCAACGGCACATGGAAAAGGGAACGGCTAAGGTCATATTCAGACCTTCCGAAGAGCGCCACACCCTGGTCCTGGGAAGATGGCGACCTAGGAAAGAGAGAGAAAGGGAAGGCCTCTGGGATTTGAACAGTTGATGGATGGTGTGTCTGTGTGGTGCTTTAAGGTCTTAAAAGCATTTCACAGGCATAGATTGACTCAGTACAGTGGTACCTCGGGTTAAGTACTTAATTCGTTCCAGAGTTCTGTTCTTAACCTGAAACTGTTCTTAACCTGAAGCACCACTTTAGCTAATGGGGCCTACCACTGCTGCCGCGCCGCTGGAGCACAATTTCTGTTCTCATCCTGAAGCAAAGTTCTTAACCTGAAGCACTATTTCTGGGTTAGCGGAGTCTGTAACATGAAGCGTATGTAACCTGAAGCGTATGTAATCTGAGGTACCACTGTAATCCATACAACGGCCTTGTAAGCTAGGCCATCATAATGAACATCCCCCGTGCTGCACTTGAGAGAGTGAAACCCAAATTTAAAAGTGGCTCAGGTAAGGTGACCTCGAGAGCCTTGCTCCCAAGCCAAGATTATTTTATTTAAAAGATGTGCATCAGGAAGCACTGGCAAAGTCCCCTGAAAGGATTTTTCCTTGAGATGGCAGGTTTGAAAACAGGTTGATCCTCTCAAGCTGTCCCATTCAGTCCTGAAACATCTAGAGGGCACCATGTCACCAACTGGCACCTCTCTGGTGAATGCCTTGTGTACTTTGTACTTGGGACCCCAATGGGGGGTGGGAATTCTTTAAAAACTTGGAAACAGCATAAGGGCTGTTGTGCTAGGATTGCCCAGGCCCTTGACCTTGCCATGCTGGGTTTGTGAGGGTCTTCAAAGTCAGGATAGGCAGGGACAGGGGGATGCTGGTCAACGACTGATTTAAACCTCACCCACCCCAACTGGAAGAACCAGCAGGCTAGGAGCCTCTGGTCATATTTCCACGATCTGCTGAACTCTGGCCAGGAACTCACAGGTGGTTGTGCTTTGCTTGGCTTCTTTCAGTTGTGGCAGCCCTTCCTTCTCCCATACAGCTGCACTGGCTTCCAATTCATTTCCAATGACAATCTAAGGTGCTCCTATTAGCATTTAAGCCCTTGAAAACCTTAGGCCCCAACTATCTGAAAGGTCACCACCCTTGGAAGTTCGGTGGGGATGGGGAGAGGGCCTTCTCTGTGGCAGCCCCTAAGCTGTGGAATTCCCGCCCCACAGAGGTGCGTCCTGCACCTTTCTTTATATAGCTTTTATCATATCCTGAAGACACATCGTTTAACCCTGGCCTTGGCCTTTGACACCATATGGTGTCAAAGGCCAAGGCCAGGGTAAAGCAATGTGTCTTCAGGTGTGTGTGTGTGTGTGTGTGTGTGTGTGTGTTAGGACCCACTTACCCTATTCTTGGGATTGTAATTTGACTTGAACTATTTTTAATACTAGTTACAGATAGGTAGCCGTGTTGGTCTGCCATAGTCAAAACAAAAAAAATTCCTTCCAGTAGCACCTTAAGGACCAACTAAGTTAGTTCTTGGTATGAGCTTTCGTGTGCATGCAAACTTCTTCAGATACACTGAAACAGAAGAAGTAGAAGGATCTGGCAACTTCTGTTTCAGTGTATCTGAAGAAGTGTGCATGCACACGAAAGCTCATACCAAGAACTAACTTAGTTGGTCTTTAAGGTGCTACTGGAAGGAATTTTTTTATTTTTAATACTGTATTTTTTAAACTGCTGCAACCCAGTATGGGATCTTACACTAAAGCACAGGTAAGAAAACATGTAAGTAAATTATTATGATTGCATTATCCGTCAGCTGCTTCAGATGTCTATTTATGCCTGGACTTTCTCTGACCCATAAGATTGGATCATGCTTATAAACATTGTTTTCCTGTTTTTTATGGTGCACCTTTATTGTTGTTGTTATTTATAAGACTTGTTACCTGGAGATCACCGAGTACTTAAGAATACATTTAAAACATCAATGCATTATACCATAAAAACAGAACAAGACAACCCCATAACAGCCATAGGAAGCATTGGGAGATAGCATCATCGTAGTTCATCTTAGGACACACTAGTATTATTTTTATGCTGTATTGTTTGTATACGACTTAAAGGTAAAGGTAAAGGTACCCCTGCCCGTACGGGCCAGTCTTGACAGACTCTACGGTTGTGCGCCCATCTCACTCAAGAGGCCGGGGGCCAGCGCTGTCCGGAGACACTTCCGGGTCACGTGGCCAGCGTGACATCGCTGCTCTGGCAAGCCAGAGCCGCACACGGAAACACCATTTACCTTCCCGCTAGTAAGCGGTCCCTATTTATCTACTTGCACCCGGAGGTGCTTTCGAACTGCTAGGTTGGCAGGCGCTGGGACCGAACAACGGGAGCGCACCCCACCGCGGGGATTCAAACCGCCGACCTTTCGATCGGCAAGCCCTAGGCGCTGAGGCTTTTACCCACAGCGCCACCCGCGTCCCGTATACTGTATACCACTTAGAGAATTTTAATTATTAAGTAGTTTAGGGCTGCTTTTAAATTAACTAAAACACACATATCAGATGCCTCCGTTGAGTAGGAAAGTGGACTAGATCACCCCCAGATTTCACCCACCCCAAAAATGCTATTGATTGTTCATTTCTGCACAGTGCTGGCACAAGACTCCATGTTTGAATTCTCTCCCAGAGAAGTGGGAGGAATCCTTATTTCCTTGCTTCTAGAAAAATAGTACATCAGGCAGAAGTGCTATACTGGCTGAACCCTTGACCTTTTAACATGTCAAATTTGGCCCATTGCCTGACAGCTGCCTCTGGTGTTCCCAGTCTTAATCCAGAGCCAAACGATTATCAGAATCCACAGCAAAACTTTGGAAAACATGTCCCCCTCCAGACGTCCTTTTTATTCTGTATTTAATCATAGAATCATCAAACTGTAGATTTGGAAGGGACCACAAGCGTAATCTAGTCCAACCTCCTGCAATGCAGGAATCTTTTGCCCACCGTGGGGCTTGTGATTGTTACTGGGACAATTCTACACAATCCCCATTCCATAATTGTTTGTGCCTGGAAAAGGTTTTGTGGTGGACGGACCGCTATGTTTCCAAACAGCGCGTGCCTTGTAACTTCCTGCTAAAATCCTGCAACTTTTTGTGCCGCAAATGCTCTTGTGTTTGGCTGGCTGGTTTGTCCCCCTTTCGTTGCTCTGTGGCGCAAGAGTGCCCCCCTCTGGACAGCAATACTGCGGTCAACATTGGAAAAGCATTGCAGAGCAGCTAATAGAATGGAATTACGTGTGGACAGTCCAGTATAAATCCAGCACCAATGCACTATTATTGTGTCAGTGGCACGTTCCAGAATAGACAATCACACACACACACACACACACAACCCCACCAATCTGGAGGGGCCCCATGGCTGTTATCTCCCGCTGACCTTGAAGAGGCCAGGGGACACCGGTCCCTCCCTGGCTTCAGTCAGGCACTCCTTTAATCAGGAGCCAAAAATTATAAAGATGCAGTTCTCCATCTGCATCCCTGTCACTCGGCTGAGTTGTTGCTATAGCAACCACCCTGCGACCCCCCCTTTCTCTGTCACGTCCCATCGCCGCAAAACCATCAACGTGCCTCCCTTTGCCCTTTCTCAGCAACAACAAAATAATCATTATGATTTCTCGCTGTCTCCTCCAGGTCCAGGCCCCACTGACGGCTAGCTTGCTCCTGAGCTGATGGGGATGAGGAAATCAGCAAGCCCCCCACAAAATTAATGCCTGGCCAGCCGCCAGCCCCCACCCTGACAGCTGAAGTGCTGAAGCAAACATTAACCAAGCAGAGGAAAACCGTCTCAGTGGGAGGCAGACCTGTTAAAAGGGGGGAGCGGGTTTGCGACGTTACGGATACGCTGTCATTTTCCTGCCGTTTTTTACAGATAAAAGACGGATTTGCCACCTGTTTGGCTTCCCAAAGCGCCTTACACTGGCTCAAATCCTCTCTCTGCAACCTCTCCCCACCGCTCACGGGATAACAGTCTTGCGAAGTTAAAAATATAACACGACAGACATAGGAAGCTGCCTTGAACTGAGCGTCACACACCATTGGTCCATCTAGCCCAGTATTGTCTTCGCTGACTGGCGGCAGCTCTCCAGGGTTTCGGGCAAGGGGTCTCTACTAGCCCCACCTGCAGATGCGGGGAATTGCATGGGACACCCTACATGCAAAGCAGACACTCCGCCCCTGAGCTCTGCCCCTTCCCACACCCACCGGAGATGCTGGGACACCTGGAATTCAAGAGAAGACAATTTTAGAGAAAATGTCTGCTTGCAGGAATCGTATTTCCCCCCAAATATTGTCACCCCCTCTAACTTCGCCATCCCTTGGTTTCTCAATGCAGGAAGAAGAGGGGAGGGAAAGGGGAGTTGTGGGAGGGATACATGCAAAGGTAAAAGAGAACACTTTTTAAACAAACACCTTGGAAGGCAGTGGATTCTCCCTCACGGGAGGTTTTTAAACAGAGGTTGGGTGACCACCTGTCAGGGATTCTTTAACTGTGATTCCTGCATCGCAGAGGGCTGGATCAAAAGTCCCTTGGGGGTCCCTTCCAGCTCTACAGTCTTGTGGTTCCTTGCATCTCCTTGACTGAGCAAACTGCCCCGAGAGAAAGGGCACCGACTGACTGCCTGGGTGACTAGCAGTGTATTTTTAGCAAACTGTTTTGCTGGCCCGAGTCAGAGACCCGTCAGCTGGGCCCACACCACATAAGGCTAAACTCATTTCAAATCAATTCAGTGGACCCAGCACATTGCAATTCTTCCTCTGTTTACAGTGGTAATGTCTTGGAAGTCGAACGTTTCGGTTTTCAAACTCCAAAAACCCAAAAGTAAATGTTTCCGTTTTCGAACATGGCTTGGAAGTCCAACAACTTCCGCTGAGTGTATATGTTATTTTTTCCAATTTTCTCTATTAAATTTGCAGACCGCCTTTTGCGCCGCTGTTTTCAAATGTTTTGGAACTCGAACGGTCTTCTGGAACAGATTACATTCGAAAACTGAGGTACCACTGTATTTA